ACTTGAGTACATTTTTGACTGTGTATTTGTACTTTTACTTAAGTACATTTTTTGAGTACTTTCTCCACCACTGCCTCCAGATCACCAGAGATGTTAAGGCTGGGACTCCACTGAGAGTCTGAGGTTTCAAATTAAACCAGCAGGTTAAAAAGTGAAAAAATACAGTAAAATATGTACAATGCACTCTTAGCAGTTATCAGTAGTTTTGAAATATTGCTCACTTGTTCCAAACAGGAAATATACACGACTTTACAGAAGTCAAGAACGGTCATACTTGCATACTTTCTCTGTGGTTTTCTTAAGATAATGAATTAACTTCTCTGTGGTTTTCTTGATAAAATGACTTAATTTTCCAATGGTTTTATCAAGATAAGTTGACAGGTTAATTAACGGATGTTTTTCTTGAGATGCAGAGTTAATTTCTCGTTTTCTCGATAACAAGAATCTCAAAAAAACCTTAGGAGAACAAGTATGTGCCAGTATGACCGCTCTGGGCTTCCTTACAATTTAGTGCAACTGTTCCACTTTTTTTTATGTTGGCAAGTAATTAGCTATTAGTTTGTCACTGAAACATTTTTTGTCTTGAAAAATATCTGAAATAATATTCTCATCCTCAAAATGGAAATTCATAATTGGCATGAAAGCTGTTATATTTTGAAATGTAAACAAAAACAGAAGCTTTGTTGTTTTTTTTCCTAACAAAATTGATAAGCCTTTGACAATTATCTCATGAGAGACTCTCATCTTATTTCCCATCAGAACAACAAAACGCATTGGTTGAATATAAATGATCTTAAAAATGTCAGGGGTGTGAACATTTCTGAGTAACACTGTAGTATTAACAAGCCAAAACATTCTTACCTCTTACTCTTATCTGAAGAGGATGACAAAAAGCTGTTGCCTTGAATGGCCTGTTCTCAATTCGGAGAACATAATCTCCTGTATAACTGGAGTTTAAATCAGGAAACAGAGTGGTGCAGTTTTTCTCACCCAGGTTTCCAATAATTTTCAGTGGATATAAGTTAACTGACTCTCTGCTGTTGAAAATAGTTTTTTGTTTAGATTTCCAAAGTGCATAGGTTGCTTGTGTAAGGTTAGATGTGGAGTTGAAGCTACATGGGACTTGCAAACAAGATCCACTCAGTGCTTCGATCTGCCCAGGTACGATAACAATGAGCGCTGGAACGGGACAATAATCACCTGTAGAAACACATTAATGATGTCAATAATGTGGAGCAAACTTCCCCTGGAGATACATTTCATGATGTAGAAACTGCAGTTCAGCTGCAATTTGTTAAACAATATCATGATCTAATATTTTAGACTAGAATTGATTCATGTGATGCCTCCAAAAGAACAAACAGCTAACCTGGATGGAAGAAGACGCTCAGTAACATGTTGACTGTCAGCATCTTCTCCAGCAGAGCTGCCTTCAGACTCTCTCAGTTCCTCGTCACTTCTAGACCAGACAAAAAGATCAGAAAATTAGGGTTTAATATTTGTGCTTGACTGAATGAAGCGTAGGTTCCACAAATTATTATTTTTGAATTTTGATAATAATTTGAAGACAAGAACCNGTTTAAATAAATTAATAGTTGTTGTTTTTTTAAGTAAGAATCCACATAGTTTTTAGATTACAAGTTTAGATTAAAACCTGCAAATATTTTCTCATCTGCAGCAGAAGGTAAAACAGTTCAAGCATTTACCTTAATTTAATTATGTGACTTTCAGCTGATGAGCAGCAGGTCCAGGTTCTAACTTCTCTGATTAAAAAGCAGTTTGTCAAAAACAATGGCTGTACTTATACTGTCTTTTTTAAAAGAGGATGTTTCATTTGTTGATTTGGTTACCAGAATATCTGTCAGCTACTGCAAACATTAACTCATTGCCATCCACAATGAGGAACAGTTTGAATATTTAGGCATGAAATAGACAGAGGTTGTTTTTTTGTGTGGTTTTTTTTTGTGTTGTTTTGTCTGCTTGGGGATGGATGCTATACGTTTGGTTTGGTTTGCGTATCATAAGTGGTAAAGTAGTAAAGTTAGTTTAATTTTTAGCCCACATGGCTAAGCTTCTTTGAAGACACAGAAGCTAGTGAAGCTAACAAACATGATTTGGATGTATGTCATTGCAAAATATCAGAGTAAAAAGAGAACAGCTGCTAGGTTTAAACCTAGCTAGCTTATTGCTGTAAGAAGCTAGTTAGATTTAGTAAAACTTGATTTCTGGTTTTGATGCACAGTGAGGTGGTAGTTTGCACCAACTAGCGTCACAACTACAAGGTGCATGTGATGTGATTCCCTCAACATTTATGGCAAGATAACTAGCAACACTGAATTTTCCTTTAAAGGAACAGCATTATGCAAAATCAACTTTTTTAAATTTTATATCATGTATTCCCTCATCCAAAACACCTGGACACCTGGAGTGTTGCTTTGATTCTTTCATGCACGTTTGACAAATCCTTTAATCTTCTGTGGCAGCCATTCAGCTGTGCAAAACGCTGTTACTTGGTGTGGACCTGATTACTGCCCTGAGCTCCTTCAGACTAGCCAGTAGCAATTAGCAAACACCTGGTGGAACTGTGCATCTGCTGAGGTCTTTATACAAGCTACTTCTTTCTGCAACGAACATAAAAATCCTATAACTAAAGATTACTACTGTATGCAGTAAATAGTTTACGAACTGAATTTAAACAATACCTTCTTAATTATATCAATGCTTACACATTTATTTACGAATATGTATGTTAGAATAAAGCTTTAGGATCAATGTCTTGCCTACAAACACTTTGATATGTGTTTGTGGAACACTAAAGTTGAACTCAATGCACAATAATAAAACTCATTTTTCCTCAGAACACTGCAAACCTCAGTAAAGCGGTTTTACTGATTCCATCCATCTGGTTACTGCATGCCCAGTTTTTGTGATGGTAGTTTTACTTCCAAGCTTTGTGTATAAACATGGTGCATATGTACAGTTGGCAGGAAATTCACTCCCTCGCAGCATATGCAGGCAATGCTTTGGACGATCCACATTTAATTACTGCCAATTCCAGCGTGGGATTATATAATTGCATAACATCAGAAAATAAAAACATTCATGAGATCTTTACTCTTCACCTGGACCTTGGAGAATAATTACAGAAAAAAGAGCAATACTCCGTAAAGGTTAGCCTCAGAAACAGAGCGGCGTCTTGTGCTTCATGTGAGCCAAGGAGAGCAAAGAGGTGAAAGCAACATGGGCTTAATGCCAAAGTTCTGTGAAAATTGAAACAGAACAGCTGTGTGTGAAACGTTGAACCTGAACACGTGAAGGAGTACGCTGCGAAAATCAAAACACGAGAGTCAAGAAACTCTTTAGGCAATAATAAATGTGGTAGAAAGTTTGAAGAAATGCAATTTTAAAACAGACCTGAGTTCAAATGGAGATATGAAGCGCAAAAGGCAACAAAAAGTTTTTGATTTATCCATTCCTATTTAAAAGTTGGATCCTACTCGAGCAATTTATTCAGCATCCTTCAGAAGTTTTTGTCCTGGTTGGAAAAAAAAATTGTCCCACGCCACTTTGCATAATGCAACATTGAAGAATTAAGTTTACAACCAGTTAGTGTAGATAAAGTTCTTCACCGCTTGTCTATGAAGACATAAATATATGTTCCTCTGGATTCATAGACTTCGTTCACCCTGCAGTCCCTTCATATAACACAGTTCTGAGTTTGCACGTTACAAAGGTGCACAGCAGAAAGTAGTTTCATGTTGACAAGCAGGATGATAAATCAGTTTCTATTAACAGAAAAGAACAGATAATTCAAGTTCAGTTCAGTTCCTTTATTTTGCCCCAAGGGGGAAATTTGTTTTTCAGTCAGGCATTTCAAACAAAGGTTATCCCAATTATCTCGTTTCACTGTAACAGTTTTGCTTAGGCAGTTTTAATTCTGAACACGTAAGTTTCAAAACATAGAAAAAGTTAATACAGATTCAATAAAAAATACTTATAAAAAAGATTCATGGTCCTTTATGCTTTATACCGTTATACTATTCTAAACATTCTCAGCATTAGCTGTGTTTTCATCAATGGTTTTTTTTATTTAAGTGTTGCATTAGAAAAGGTTGATGGACAAGGTCAAACTTTGAACTAACGTCCTCAGTTTTGCAGAACAAAACAAGTTTTAAGCTTGCTTTGCTGCAACAAAATGAAATGACATTTTGTAGCTTCCCAAAAACATTCACCTCAGACGTGGGTCCATTAAACAGACTTTTTTTTTTTTCATAGGAAGAATTTTATACAAAGTTCAGTGTAACACAAAATGCTTCATAAAGGTTAAAAAACAGGGAAACAGACATTTAACCTCCAGAGTGGCTTAAATGATTAAATCAAGTAAAGAAAAGGACAAGACGGGAAACGCAGTCACATGAACTAGATTAGCAGAGAAACTCTTGAGATAAAGAACTTAGATTTAGAAAAAAACACTAAAAGTAAGACCATACATAGGAAAACCCTTAAATCTACAATAGCAAAGAGCATTAATCTTAAAGCAGGAAACTGTAAGATAGGATAGGAGATAATAAAAAGCTATAAAGGTCATACTGAATGGAAGGTTTTCCTCCAGTAACCAGAGAGCAGGTCATTTGTAACATCCTCAGTTTCAAACTGAATTTAAGGTGCTGTAAAATATTACTATATTTACATGTTATATTATGTTTTAGTTTTCTTGCTCACGATTGATTTGCAGAAACAATTTTAAAAATGATTCGTCCAAGACTTGAATACTGTTTTATATTCCCTGTAAAAGTTCAACTGTTTAAACTTTTTTTTCTTTTACCTTTTAATTATCATTAAGGATTTTTGTACACCGTGCTTTCAAAGTGTACTCATGTTTTTCTTGTGGAAAACAGAAACTTTCCGGAGATTGATGCTGAAACCCGGCGGCTCGGTTCGGCGCTCTGGATGTGCGGCGGTAATGGATGGAAGACTTTTAAGAGGTGAGGCGTGTGAGAGGTGGTGGGGGTTGCTCATGTTCCTTTTTGTATGTGGCCCCATGCGTTCGCTCAAGGGTTCTTCATGAAGCCAGAAGAGAGCGTGAAAAAACAGGCAAGAACAACACTGGGAACGCTTCAGATGAAGATCAGAGGGATGGATTTACTCCCAACTTCTAAAACCCAACCCTGTTCTGAAGAGCCTCTTCTTCATTATGTCCACTAGCCTCCTGTCCTCTCTACATTTTTCTCTCTTGTTCACTATTTATTTACTTCTGTTTGTTCTGTTTCTATATTAAGAAATTATCTTCTATTCTAAATCTTGTTTTGTACTTCATGCACCACTCCAGCAGGTCTATTTCGTCTCTGTTTTAGTTTTCTTGCTCTCCTTTATTTCCTGAAGGACAAAATAATCTTTTGTAATATTTGATTTCTTTTGCATCCATTGTCTGTTTGTACTTGACAAGTTGTCTCTTATTCTGTAATTCCTGAGAGCCAGTTGAACTTTTTGTCATTCCCTCTCCACTGTTTGTGGCTTTAAAGGCAAACTAATTAGTTGCTTACGGTTAAATTGCACTAAATTTCCACACTGGACTCTGATGGGACCTGCTAATGTGCCTATAAATCTGTATTGTTGCTTTATGCAACATGTGATAACGGAGGTGCAAAGCTGTCACAATTATATGGCTCGAGATAAATAACCAAATGGTTAAAAAGTATTAAAATCTCTTCGCTTTGGGTGCACAGCAAATGTACACACGGGGGTGAGAGTAAGCCGGTCCGGTACTGCGTACCAGTGAAAGATTCTGCGCCGGTACGCGGTATTGGGAGAACGACTGCACTTTCAGTCAGAATAGATCAGCCAGCAGGGGCGCTGCCAGGAATCTTGGGCCCCATGACAAAAAATTTAATTGGGCCCCCTTTTCACAGCTGCTGTTAGTTTCTTGAGTCTGTCTAACTCATCAAAACGCCACAATTTTAAAGGCTTGCAAAAGCCTTGCTTTCTTTGGTTCAATTCTGATACTAGCACAATATTCACCACCTGTGAATTTTACATGAAACAGTCCACATAAAATACAGCAAATAGGTTGGTTAATTTTTTTAATATTATTAATGTTAGCTTATTGAAATGTCTCTCACCACCAGCAAGTCACAGGCAACATGCAAAATACACATGAAGCAATCCAGACTTCTAAAAATATGCTGTTGTTGCATTTTGTTCAAGCTGCAGAATATAACTTCAATTAAAAAAAATGTTTTTTTCATATTTGTTAAAGCTGTCACCATGTCATGACAGTTTACTATGAAACAGATAATCTGGGAAAAGATCAATCTTCTCCACCTCCTCCCAGAGCTGCTAAAGTAATGCACCGTTCTGACCAAAACAACCAATAAGAACCAGGAGGAGGGTCTTAGTGCTGTCAGTCAACCTCATTCACTTACTTCAAGAGGGGCTAATGGAAGATTTTATAAAGATTCTTTGAATTTCTGTGAGTAATAAATACATAGTTTTTGTTGTGTAATTGTAAAGAGAGTCCAGAGACAGGAAAAATCCCTGGAATTAAGCCAACTAGCTCGTCACTGAACACAATGTTGCTCGCCTTTTTCACTGGGCTCTAACTCTGGTATCAGGGTTAGAGCTGCTGCTGATTGGTTTGTCTGTTGATAAGTGTGGTAAGAGGTACAGGGACATGTTAAATATATGAATATGATGTTAAATTATTTCCTTCACTCATTAAATGCTAATGAAATGGAGGCAAACAGTAGTCTGTAGCTAAGC